TTGTCTGGTTGGGTAAAACCCATGTCGCCCCAAAAGCTATAATTAATGATGTACAAGCCTTTGTAAGGATTATGGGGTTCTGGAAGACTTTTATTCTTCTCCTGGCCCAGTGCCTCCATTCCTTATACTGCCTGCTAAAGAAAGGGTGCATATGGGACTGGGGATCAGAGCAACAATGAAAAAGCAAAAATTCGAGTTAAGTAAATTAGAGCTCTGGGCATCTCTCTCGAGCAGGGCTACCATTTGAGGTACATGTGTGTACGACTCCAGAAGGGATGAATTGAGCACTGTGGCAGAGATAGCAGAAAGGGGAGTGCCCCTAGGAGTTTGGTCCCAGCCCTGTAAGGGGACAGAAACCCATTACACCCCTACAGAGCAACAGCTCCTAGTGGTGTACACAGTGTTCCTCCAGGGAGAGCCTCTCACACAGCTGCCAGTGCAGCAGCCCGGGGGCTGAGCTCAGAGCAATCTGCCTAGTGATCACTCATGAGCCCTGGTCATTAATCCTTTGCAAGGACAGTTGGGCTGTTTTCAGAGGGATTGATCCTATGGCTTGGACAATGGGAAGCCAAGGGATGGATGATCATATACAAGCCCTTGTGGGGGCAGGATATGTGGAAAGACATTTGGGTCCATCTGGAAGAGCCTGAGGTACTCGTCACTGTCCTCCATGTCCCAGCTCACAAGGCACTGACACCCCCTCGCAGTCAGAAAGCTGATGCTCTAGCTCAGTTACGAACCCTATCTACTGACCCTTCAATAGATTCAGCAGATTGGGAGCACTGGGTGTTATACGCAAACAATGAATAATGGAACACTACATCAAAAACTAACAATGTAATGTATTGTGATTAACATAACATAATAAAAAAAAAAAAGCAGATTGGGTGCATACAAAGAATGACCACCACAGTGTCTGGTGGGATGGCATCTTGCCAAGGATGCTGGACTGCCCGTGAAGTACAGTGACTTGGTTAATGAAGTAACATCATGTCCTGTGTATTCTGAACAATGCCCAGGACAACCGCTGGAAGATCTGGGAACATCCACTGAAGTTCCCAGGCAGTAAGGGTTTGACAAATTGATTATGTCGGCCCCCTTTCTCTGAGTGAGGGTTCTAAGTATGCCTTGGTTTGTGTGGACACTGAATCTTACCTAATCCAAACTTTCCCCTGTCACTGGGGAAACCAGGCTGCCACTATTAGGGGATGAGAGAAGCTGAGTATTACGCCTAGACAGTAGTGAGGGGTCACATTTCAAAGGTTATGAAGTACAAGACTAGGCAAAAGAATTGACATTGGATGTTCCGTCTCCTCTACAAATGGCAAGCAGCAGGGCTGGTAGAAGGGAAAAATGAACCACTAAAACAGCAGATTAAATTATTAACAGGTAAAACCACCTTGACTGGGTGGGCTAAAACACTATCCCAGGCTTTAATACATTTGAATGATCAACCAGTAGGGCCTGTCGCCTCACATGCCAGACTAGGGACCACGGCTGAGGCACAAATACAATAAAGGTATGGAAGTCTTGGGAAACAGCCATGGACCTGATTCTCACTGAGGATCAATGTTCCATGCTGCTGAGAGCACAAAGCCCCATAATGACTGGGGAAAAAAGTTATCTACTGGAATTTGCAATGGGACATCCCCCCAAGATGGGTGAGTTACTTTGCACCCTCTGGGTGAGGGGAAACTATTCAATCTCCACTGAAATTCTGTTGTCCTGATGCAAGATGCACCTGTTAGAATATATGAACGGACAGGAACATGTGTCATTGAAAGAGAGGAGAAGATAGGGGTCCTGGTCTGACATGTCCTGTTCCTAGTCCATCTCCTGCCTGACAGTGCTGCCTCCCCCACAGGTATGTACAACCAGGTCAGGTTCCTAAAACTGCCAGCCTCCCTCTTCTCAAGGCCAGGTGGGCACATTCTGTTTTCTACTAGTTCACTATTTGGCTGCTATCTTTGCTCCGCATTGGTTTAGAGGATGTTATACGACACAGAGGAGCCCTTACAAAATTCACCCAACAAGCCTTAAATGATAGTCAACACAACCTGTCCTTACTGAACGCTGAAATGACTCTAATGAGAGTCTTCAAAAATAGAATGGCCTTAGACACTATTACTACCTCTCAAGGAGGCACCGATGCCATTATCCAAACAGAATTTTATGGGTTCATACCTAATACATCTGCTAATATATTATCTTTATTAAGTCACAGAACAACGCAGGTAAATGCCCTAAATGATCCAACCCCCAGCCCAGGGGAATTAATAAATCAGTGGTTTGGATCACCGGTCTCTTGGTAGAAAAAATGTGTCACTGGTTTTAGAATCATTGTTTTCTCTTACGTGTACCTGTATTCTTGCTGTGGCATCTGCCTCCAGTGCAGCCAGAGAGCCACCAAATGAGCCACCTCCATGCTGGTGAAACCCCTTGCTGACTGCTCAGGGCACATTGTGGAAGAGAGGGGTACGTGAGATTATAAAAGCCAGTCAAGAAGGGTGGAGTTTTGGGGAAGGTCATCGAAAAGACATGACCTCCAATTGACCTGTGAGCTGGACCAGCAGTCAAAGGTTCCTCATTCCCTCCCCTGTCTTTCAAATATGGATCCTGCTTGCCTTTTCTGCTCCCAGGAGCTGCTCCAAGGATATATAGCCTCAAGACAGTGATGTGGTAATGAGAACACCTGCCTGGTGTGCATGGTTGAGCCTAGTTAAGGCCTCTGTATAAATTTTTAATATTTGGAGGGTGGGTGGGGGATTAACTAGTCTTGCTGCCACCTGAGACAAGCCTTGTATGTAAGTTACCTTTGCTTATTAAACCTGCTACCTCCCTTGGGGCGCCTGGGTGGCTCAGTTGGTTAAGCGACTGCCTTCAGCTCAGGTCATGATCCTGGAGTCCCGGGATCCAGTCCTGCATCGGGCTCCCTGCTCGGCGAGGGGCCTGCTTCTCCCTCTAACCCTCCCCGCTCTCATGTACTCTCTCTCTCTCTCTATCTCATTCTCACTCTCTCAAAATAAATAAATAAATCTTAAAAAAAACAAAACAAAACCCTGCTGCCTCCCAACCTGGAGTAGCGTGCCTCTCTTTGGTCTCCCCTTGCCCTTTGAGTAAGGGAGATGAGGCAGTTTCAGATTTCATCCAGGAAGAGGAAGCTCCCAAGGGAGTTATGAGACAACAGAAATTAAAGGGAAATTAGGAAGTATTTTGAACTGAATAAATATGAAAAAAAAATCAGAATTTTTTATACCACTACAGTTAGTGCTTAAGGGGAAACATATAGCACAACATGGCTATATTTAAAAAGAAAGAAAAGATCTGAAATCAGTGAACTGAACTTTCATCTTAAGAAGCTAGAAAAAGAAGAGCAAATTAAAACATAATTAAGTAGAAGAAAGAAAAATTATCAATTGAAGAAGAAATTAATAAAATAGAAAACAAAAGTAATAGACTGTACTTTTTACAAAAAAAGTAAATTCAATGAAAAAAGTTTCATCGAGAAAAATGAACTTTTTCTTCTAAACCAACTAATTAAAAAAAAAGAGAAAGACAAAAATTAACAATGTCAAGAATGAGAGAAGTTGCATTAATACAAAATCTAGAGATATTAAAATGATAAAAAGAAAATACAAAGAAAAATGTTAGGCCAAGAAATTAAATATTTAGATAAAGTGGACAAATTCCTTGGAAGACACTAATACCCAACAAAGCACACTCAAGAAAGAATTATTTGAATGATATTATATCCATTCAACTGAATCTATTGTTAAAAATCTTACAAAAAGGGGCGCCTGGGTGGCTCAGTTGGTTAAGCGACTGCCTTCGGCTCAGGTCATGATCCTGGAGTCCCGGGATCGAGTGCCACATTGGGCTCCCTGCTCAGCAGGGAGTCTGCTTCTTCCTCTGACCCTCCCCCCTCTCGTGCTCTCTATCTCTCATTCTCTCTCAAATAAATAAATAAAATCTTTAAAAAAAAAATCTTACCAAAAAAGAAAACCCATGTCCAGATGACTTCAGTGGTAAACTATATTAAATAATGAACAAATAGTACCAATTCCACACAAAACCTTTGAGGAAATTGACATAGAGGAGTACTTCTCTAAAACATAAACCAGACAAAGCCATTACACAGAAAGCAAATTACATATCAATATCCTTCATAAACATACTTGCAAAAATCCTGAAACAAATTTTAGCAGAACTAATCCACCAATATATTAAAATGATAATAAATCTCAAGAACCCAAGGTTGGTTTAACCTCTTATAATTATTCAATGTAATTCATCACGTTAAAAAATTAAACAGAAAAATATTAAAATATGTGATCATTTCAATAGGTGTAGAAAAAGTAGATGTAGACAAATCAATACCCATTCCTGATAAAAACTCTCAGCATTCTAGGAATAAAAGGGAACTTCTTCAAATGAAAAAAGAGCATCTACGAAAAATATACAGTTAACACCATACTTAATTGTATTAACACTGATTTCTTCCAAGATCAAGAACAAAATAAGGATGTTCACTCTCAACATTTTCTTTCAATGTTTACTAGAGGGTCTGTCTAGTCTATGAAATCTAGCAAGGAAGAGAAATAAAAATCATCTAGAAAGGAAGAAATAAAAGTGTTTTTATTTGCAGATGACATGATTATCTATGTAAAAATCCAATGGAATACACACACACACACACACACACATTACTAGAAAAAATAAGTGTTTCAGGATATAAGGTTAGTATAAAAAAGTTTATTATAATTCTATATACTATCAAGAGACATTTGGAAATTAAAATTATAAATGATAACAATACCATCTCTAGCAGCATCAAAAATATGAAATATATGATGATAATCTAAGAACATATGTGAAACATCTATACAGAGAAAATTATAAAACATTGCTTAAAGAAATTAAAGAACACAAGTAAATGGAGAGATATACCTTGTTTATGAGTTGAACAAATCAGTATTTTTAAAATTTCAATTTTCCCCACATTTTTCTAATAGATTCAATGCAATCACATTCAAAATTTCAACAGGGTTTGTTTGTTAGGTTTTAGAAATGAACAAGCCAATTCAAAAGTTAACATGGAAATACAAAGACAGAGATTAATCAAAACAACTTTGAAAAAAGAACAATGTTGAAGGATTACCACTACATGATTTAGAGAAATTGCAATATTCATGGTGGCGTAAAAATATATAGGTAAATAGATCAGTGGAACAGAAGAGAGAGACAGAAAAAGACCCATGCACATATGGGTGACTGTTGACAAAAGTGCAAAGGCAATGTAGTGAAAAAAGAATAGTCTTTTCAACAAATGTTCTAAATCAGTTGAATATCCATATGCAAAAAAAATAATAATAATGAGAGAGAGAGAGCACTTTACTACCTGACTCACAAGCTAACCCAAAGTAAGTTACAGATTTCCATGTAAAACCTGTAACTATAAAATGTCTAGAAGAAAACACAGGAGAAAATTTTGTGACCTTGAGTTTGGCAACAAGTTCTTAGAAACACCAGTAAAAACATGAAAATGGACTTCATCAAAATTTAAAACTGCTTTTCCAGAGAATTAAAAGTCAAGCCATAAACTGAAAAACAAAAACAAAAGATGATCAAAAAGACATCTGATAAGGGACTTTTACCCAGCATATACAAAGGGCTCTCAAAATGTAACAAAAAACAAACAACTTGAAACTTCTCAGATTTGTACATTACTTTATGAGAGAAAATATGTAGATAGTAAATAAGCAATATAAGTAAATAAAAAGACCTCAAGATTATTTTTCATTTAGGAAATGCAAATTAAACCACAGTAATATACCGCCATACACCTATTAGAAGGTTACAATTACAAGACTGACCATACCAAGTGTTAGCAAGGTTAGGTGGAATTGGGACATTCATACATTGCTGGTAGGAATATCAAATGGTACAACTTTGGTAAATAGTTTGGCAATTTCTCAAATACACCTACTGAGTGATCCTGACATTAAACTCTTAAGCATTTACCCAAGAGAAGAGAAATACTATGTACAAACAAAGACTTGTACACAAATATCTAGAGCACCTTTATCTGCGATAGACAAATACTGAAAACAACCCAAATGGTCATCAACAGGTAATTCATCAACAAATTGGGGTATATTAAGAGAATAATACTCAACATTTAGAAAGAGTGAAAAATTGATGCAAGCAACAAGATGAATGAATCTCAAAATGATTAGCTAAGTGAAAGAAGCTAGACCAAAAATAAAAAGGCATACTGTTTGACTCCATTCATATAAAATGTTACAAAATGCAAAGTGAAAGCAGTTTGGTGGTTGTCCGAGGAGAAGGCATTGGGGAGAGGATGATAAAAGTTGGAGGGATGGTGGAAATGTTCACTATCTTAATTGTGGCGATGATTTCAATGGAAAATGTTCATATATATGAAAATTCTTGTTACTTCAAATATATTAAGTTTGTTATATGCCAATTAAACATCAATAAATGTGCTAACAAAAGAAAATATCTCTTGTCTTCCTAGGAATGATACAGCTTTTTCTTTTTTTTTTTTTATAAAGTTGGTGCTAGATTATGTGCAACAAAATGGAAAGGCTTCCTTTAAAAAGTAGAATAACCTGTGAAGGAGGTAGCAAGGGAGTAGAAATACTGAAAATAGAAGGAATACTTCTAATTCCACCTGTTTCTATTCAGCTATATTTCCATACCTGGCTCAGTTTGTTCTTTAATTGAGTATCTTCATATTTTCGTCCTGTGTGTTTCCATATTAGCACAGCACAACAGAGTTGAGAACTCATTTACAAATGGTGTGTACTTTAGGGGGGAAAAAAATCTATTTTTGCCTCAGGCCCCATGATTCTAACAAATACTATCTGAGGATTAAAGTGATTAAGCTATCCTTTGATAAAGGATGAAGAAATAATTAGATTCGAAAACCAATAATGAATTGTGATTAGTTGACTGAAAAGATCATTCAATTTGTAATTACTTCCTGGGACATTCCAATTGCCCCAAAATGTGATGATGTGGGGTGTGTATGTCGTGTGTGCGCGTGTGTACGTGGTGGAATCTGGAGAAAGATCACAATTTAAAAGACCGATAAATTGTAGCTTTTAAATGTTGAGAACACAAGTTTCTGGATTCCAGCACGGCCTTTCCCTTTTTCTGTTTCTTCATGCATTCTTTTCTGTTTCACATGCATTTTTCCATGCATCCACCAGCTGGGCAAGCTCTCCACGTTCCATCTTCTATGTGGTTTAGGAGGGTGAGGGGAAGATGGTACTGAGGTAGAGAGGACTGAGTACAGAGGGCTCCCAAGACTTGAAGAGGAATAAGACTTTAAAATAAAAAAAAGTGAAGGGGGATTGAAGGGCTGGCAGGAAGACTTGGGACAAGCTAGGTGAAAAACAGAGAGAGAGAGACAGAATCAAAATTTCTGATATCAAGGTGCCAGGCGGCCGGAAGCCCAGTCTCTGCTAGGGAGTTCTGCCATCAGCTAATAACAAGCAGGGCTCTCATGGTTTACACCTAAGTGATGAAGGACAACTTAAATTCCAGAAAAGAATTCTTCTCTTCTTCCCAAGCGCTTTCGAATTCACTGTGCTCTCAGTAGATTCGCCTTCTTCTGACATATACTGAATGCACTTAAAATGCAGTTGTCAGCAAAAACAGCTCCCCTTTGTATATATGCACAACTACCTGAAGGATAGTTCTGGGAAACAGGACCCTGGAGTCTAAACCTGCAGATGGGAAGGGGAAAAAAAAAAGTAGATTTACTGCCACCTTGTGTCAGAAACTTAAACTTGTCTTAAAAGCTTCAAATCAGTAATAAATGTGGGAAGGAAAACTCCAGAGAAGGTCTGAAAGGCTAAATGGGCGAGTCCCTGTCTGACAGAGGTGGAGAAGGAACATTCAGAAATTCCTCAAGCTTCTCCCTGACAAGAAGAGGACATTATGTGGAATGCAGAAGCAACTTCACTAGCACCTTCAGCAAAGATTAGGAAACTTACAAGTGGGGCCTCAAAGGAGAGCCGTCCTCCCAGAGCCATGCGCTGCTGGGTTTCCTCAGAGACAACCCCATCCAGAATGGGAAATTGGAATGGGCACTTGTTTGCCGGACGAATTCCTGTGGGGAGTAATGTTTAGGTTAGATTCACAAACCTAAAGAACCAAAAGAGATCTTCGACATCCTTTCCATGGTTTTACAGAAATGTTTACAAAAGCTTAGAGATACCATGTAACCTCTCTACCCAAGGTCATGCACATCATTAGTGGTCAGATGAGCCTAGAAAATAAGTATTCTGATTCTCAAACACGAGCTCCTCCACCAAGGGCATAAATCTGATTTATTTCCCTATAAGGCACTACTCCAGTGCAATGTACAACCATAAAAACTCACCAGATCATCTGTGCTATTAATTTTCAGCATCTGGGCATCCAAAGACAAACAGTTCTCCTGGCTTTTTTCCCAATTAAATGGGCCAGAGGAAAATAGGTAACAGTTTTCTTCATGCCAGAGCCAGTCTTGGGGACAAGGACCTAGGAAGTGTAGCATATCTAATCAGTGAGTGATGCCTGAGTAAAAATATTTCTACAGTTCTTAAATCAATTCTCCCCTCAGGACTGTCACATGCATATCATCTCTTCTTAATTAGAATTATATCCAGAGTCTTCAAAGACCTCAATACACCAATAGTCTTTATTTCTCTTAAAGTATTCTGATTTTAGTAAACTAAATTAAAAACAAGTGTGTTCAAAAGCAAAACTTGAGCTGAGATGTAACTTTAGAATCTGACCTATTTTTTATAATTATGTTTGGAAGAATGGGGAGTGGATATGTTAATAGCCACACTGCTCTCAAAAAGATAAGCTTGGGGTGCCTGGCTGGCTCACCCAGGGGAGCACACAACTCTTAATCTCGGGGTGGGTTTGAGGCCCACGCTGGGTGTGGAAAATACTCAGAAATAAAATCTGGGGTGCCTGGATGGCTCAGTAGGTTAAGTGACCAACTCTTGATTTTAGCTCAGGTCACGATCACAGGCTGGTGGGATAGAGCCCCTTGGGCTCTGTGCTCACCAAGCAGTCTGCTTCAGGATTCTCTCTCCCTCTCACTAGTATGTGCACTTTCTCTCTCTAAAATCAATCAATAAATAAATCTAAAAAAAAAAAAGAAAGAAAATCTTTAAAAAAAGACACATTTATATATTTTAAAACTTCAGGTTTTCAAATAATGAATTTAAGCTTAAATATTGTGCTTCCTGTTTCTGGACATACGTTGTCCACTGCATAGCCATATGTGGTATTCAAACTACCTGTGTTTCTTTTAATTCAAAAAAAAATTCTTTTTTAAGTAAACTCTACACCCAAGCCCCCGTTGAACTCATGACCCCAAGATCAAGAATCTCATGCTCTACAGATTGAGCCCACCTGGGGTCCTCTTTTAATTTTTTTTTTTTTTTTTAACAAACACAATATCACTATATTGGCAGTACTTTACACACATTAACTTATTTAATCCTCACAACAACATGATTAAATAAATTCCATTCATTTTCTTCCTTTGGCAGATAGAATAAATGGGAATGTGAACCTTGGCAGACTCGCTCTCACATCCATGTGTTTAATCACGACATGCACTACCTCTCAAACTTTCACGTTTGAATCAATTGAGGAAACTTCTTGGTGCCCTTCAAGATATTTTGATACAGAATCTCGGGATAAACCTAGAAATTGCCATTTTTAAAAAGCTACTGTAGTGATAATGTTGTACACCAAAGGTTGACAACCACCACTAATTTCAGTCCTAAATATAAAGTCTGTTACTGTGCAGACCCTGCACCTTTCTGGCTGGATTACCTCCTGAAAACCACACTTGGTAACTTCTCAGAATCTCTCTCTCTTCATATCTACACTGTGTACCACAGACTTGTTAGTAAGAAAGATAAAACTTGTCTCAAACTTGAGGAAACCGGTCTATTTTTTTTCCATGTGGTATTTTATTATTAATGTTTTTGAGAATCTTCTCAAAGCTGCTTGATGAAAAGCAGTACTTTATTTGCTATCTCTATTAATTGGCCTTTATCCGACACTGTCAAGGAATGGAACATGTTACCTGGGATATCTACCAGTGAAAAACATATTACTTAGTATTTTTGATTGGTTGCCCATGCCTGGAATCTCTGGGAGACAGTTCTGGATGGTCCTGATGTAGATTTAATCTCATACAACTGATAAAAACAAAACAAAACAAAACTGTTTTACATCCCCATCTGGGGACTAAATCATTGGTTGGTATGCAGCTATGTCTGCTTATATAAACATTCCTATCTTTGATAGATTAGTCTCCTTCCTTTACACCTTTTTAGAGACAGTGTATTCTTTATTTTCCTCGATAGCTCCCTCCTTAATAAAGACATTAAATAGAGGTTTGATACTTGCTAAAGATCAGTTTGTCCAAAAAGCTCTGCTTCTTTTGGAAATTTAAATAACCCTGTAAATATTGAAGGGATTTATTAACTTCAAAACTTTATTAAAAAAAACTACTTATCATTTTATCATCACTTAACTTCTCTGGCTATCAATTTTTTTCATCTATAAAATAAAGATCTGTGGGTATTTGTGAACTGTTATATAATCCATATTCAAATAAATTGCATGGTTGAGATCAAGTGAGATGTACAAGCAAGAAACTGGAGAAATCTCTGTTTATTAGTAGCAGTTAGTTACTAATGCTGAGAATAGGGCACTCATTCATACACCACCAAGAAAGCAATGCATCTCTGAGAGTAATTCCATCTCATATCCCTTAAATCTCCCTATGATGAAAAGCATATGCCTGATTTAATTACATGTTGTACAAAGACTAAATGACACAGATAACTCCGTAATAACATCAGAGTTCACATCATCATCCCCTTCTCAGAGATACTATTTCTACTTGCCTCCTAGATTCTGAGATCAACTCAATTCTTCTTATATAAACTGACTTCCTGGGCCCTTTATATTTTTCTCTTACCTAAAGTATCTACCCAACACTTGCAAGTCAGCTTACCTCCATTCATTCAATTTAAATTGATGTTGTATACTCTAAGAAATAGGGTTATAGAATAAAGTTAATGTAGAGCTTCCCAGGGACAAAGGAGACACCATAGGGAAAGAAATCAATGATTAAGATACATTGGTACAGGGGCACCTGGGTGGTTCAGTAAGTTAGCGTCTGCCTTCGGCTCAGGTCATGATCCCAGGGTCCTGGGATGGAGCCCTGCATCAGGCTTCCTTCTTCACCCTCTCCCTCTGCCCCTCCCCCCTACTGGTACTCTCTGTTCTCTCTTATTCTCAAATAAACAAAATCCTTTAAAAAAAGAAAAGATACATTGGAACAGAAAGAAGTAAGAATCCATGGCAAAGGGTAAGGGTGGGAGAATTCTTCCAGAAATATCTCAAAACCAAATTTTAAAAATAAAGAAGAGGTTCTTATGAGGAAAGAAAATTTAAATCCACCAAAAACTATGCTTAATTAAATCAGGTATCTCAAGAATTTAGCAGAGGGAAGGGTGGGTTGACAAAAATTGAGAAATTCTGGTGTCAAACATTATGAATATATGTTAATATGCCAATTTCGTGCCTAGAGACATTTTCAAAGCAGAGTTTAGATTAAACAGAGAAGTTTCCACTACTTCTTTTCACCTCTCCATCCCACATACCTGAAAAGTTTGCTGCTTTCCTCAGAGCTTCTTGGAGATTCAGGTTCTGATGATGAAGTTCCATCTGTTTTTTGGAATTTTCATCCATCTTCTGGTTAAGGGTTTCTATCGTTTCTTTGAGTTCCCTTTCTGACTCCTGGGAAGCTTTTTCTGCCTGCTTCTGTGCTAAGATCTGTCCCTCCAGTATAATTTCCTGGTTAGTAAGGTTTTCTTGCTGTTGCTTTAGAAGATCAGAAACCTGTGATACTAAATCATAGCTGAAATAAGAACTCCATTACCAATCCTGAATAAAAATCCCTCCACTGGATTTTGAGGAAATCAAAGAATCGAATCAAATTATCTATTTTGACAACAGATAAACTGCTGGAAAATTACTCAGAAATTATGGATTTAAAAGTTATTTAATATTCCTGCAGTATTTTTTTTTTTAATGTCAGGAACTGTCACAGACACTTTTGGTTAAAAAAAAAACAAACAGGATTTTGCTTGTTATTGATAGTTATAGACAAGCTTAAAAGCAATCATAAGATAAAGGGTATATCAATGGCATAAATAAAATATGGACAATCTGAAATAGATGCCAACAGACTCAGTGATTATTAATAGTTGTCATTAATGATTTACTCTATTTGTGTCTTTATTCTGCTGTTAACTCTCTACCCTTCCAGACTTCCTAATTTTATTTAAAAACTGTGACACCCCTTTTTTGAGGCACCCTCCCAATTATTGTAAGGTGCTATGTCATAACAATTTCAAGCATTTTTTGTTTCTTGGGTTCTTTTCTTTTTTAGCCACAGTACATTTTAGGAAGGGTGGGGATGAAATAAAGTTTGTGAAATCTGGCAGGCAATTAATGTTAAGGGTCAAATGTCTCAGTTCTAGAAGCTTGATGGTTCAGTACAAAACAGATGGACCCCTTGGGTTGAAGGCTGGATTTGAGACTGTTGTGAAATGATTCTTCTCATGGGAAGACTTATCCAGTCGCCACCACTGAGTCAAGGGCACTTATCCTAGTCATTAGGGAAGGCCCTAAGTGTTAACACATTGAAAAAATAAATGGTTGGTGACTTTAACCAACAATTGAGAAACAAACAGCACTTCCAAGGCCTTAATCATCTAGATTCTAGATGGACAAAGTAACTCAGACCTACAATCTAAATACACAGGCAGATTATATGGATGATTGATACCATTTTCATTCCTTCTTGGCTACTCTCATCCTTCTTATCACTTCTTTTCCTCTCAACATCCTCTCTTATGAGTGGCCATTCTATAAATTTGAATTACAGTTATTTTAAATGTTTCATTTATTGAGATAGTGTTTCTGATTCTTAACTTTAAATTGGTATTTCATCATCTCAATTAAAATTCAATGTAGGAGCGCCTGGATGGCTCAGTAGGTTAAGTATATGACTCTTGATTTCAGCTCAGGTCATGATCTCAGGGTCGTCAGACTGAGGCCTATGTCAGGCTGTGGGCTAAACATGGAGTCTGCTTGAGATTCTCTCTTTCCCTCTCCCTCTGCTCCTCCCCCCACTCGTGCTCTCTCTCTCTAAAAAACCAAACAAACAAAAACCAAAAAAAACAACCTCAATGTGAACTATATGAAGTTTCTTTTCCTTTTGGGTCTCAGGGGATCTTGTGGCTTAGTAGCTTCAAATTATTTTCTTTTTCATCATTCCAAGATTTAAACAGACTTTATCCAGGAAGTTATAACAACAAAACAAAACAAACACCTACCATTCATAATCTTAATTCCATGTCCCAGTCAATTTGAGGGACAAGCACAATGTACTTATTCATGTTCCCACTTATTCCAAAAAGTTTGTCTAAACTGTATCTAAATCAAGGCTGTTTATAGTTGTTATGAAACCAATTAATAAACCATGTTTGTAAGTTCTCACTTTTTCTCCCTGTTCCAGTACTTACGTTGCATTGTTAGCATTATAAGAGTTACCAGTAATCCCAAGCAAAGGATCCCCAGGGTCACAGCAGTAGGGCACCACCACCGAGAAGAAAGAAAATGAGGACCTAGAGTGACAGAGGATAGAATCAGAAAGATGTAAAAGATGGAAGCAAGTCATCAAACAATTCTTTGGAAACTGTCTGTAACTTGTACTTTGCCTTTCTTACCTTAGAAGTCCTCCCAAGGGCTCTGCAAATAATTCATTGTCCATATTTACAGATGAAAAATACAGACAGAGAATTTAAGTAATTTACTCTTGGTCACACAACTGACACAATTTAAGAGCCGGGACTCAATATCAGATAATGTGATGTTAAGTATCTGATTCTAAAGCTTATACTTTATCTACTCTCCCCATAATGACTCTCTAAGAAACTCTCAGTCTAGCTTGGTTGGATCAGTTTCGTCCACAGAACAGAGATCCTGATACTTTTAATATAGACCATGTGGATGGACACACACACACACACACACACACACACACACACACACGTACCTCATACACAGTGTGTTTTATAAGTAGTGTACCATAAAAGAATGTCAGACACCAAGCAAATAAGTTTTAGTTAGTTAATCAACAGATCGCCTCAAATAATTATAATTTTGTGCTTTCAATTTTTATTCCACTAAAATTACCATTGGAAGTAAGGTTATTGACCGAAGAAAAATAGGAATTAAACTGCAATATTCATTTGACTCATATTAATGTCATGTCCTATACTTATACCAGCTGTGGCCCTTGTTGTTATAAAAGTTCACCATTATTAAAGAAACAAATAAGTCATGTAGCTCACAGCTCCACCACTGCAAAAGCACAGATATTTTGGTTCAATGGGAAAATATCTCATATGATCTATGTGAACTCCTCACCCTGTGCAATACACAAATAGGGTACTGGTAGTGTTATCCTCTATATGCAGATAAGGAAACCCAAAGTCTCAGTGAATTGTATGAGATCACACAGATGTTAAGATCCAAACATAGGTCTTTAATCCAACTGTCAGTTGCTACATGGCTTGGAACATTACATCCCCAAATTTCTAGTGCAAATGTGTAATGATCCAAATCAATCAATGGTCAAATATATTCACAGAGTCAAAAGCACTTCTGTTAGACTCTAGAGATGAGACAGACAAAATAGAAATCTTAACAGGAAGAAATACAGTTCATTCACTGATTCAAAAGTCATTAAGCTCCTGGAGTGTATGTGGCAAGTTGGCAGAGAAGTAGAAGATAGTTGTATCTCTTGCAAATAACTGCTTAGGATTCTAGCTTGGGGGTAGATATCTGTGTAAATCAACCAATATTTCCCTCTGATCAGTATTCATTCTATACTATGCGTGTATGTCGACCACTCTTGAGTGAAGAAACTCCTGAATTTTTAGAAGAAAATCATAGGCTCAACACCTGTTCAGGGAAGGCACAAGCTCCCATTTTCTACAGGACACCCTTTGTCCCATTTCGTGGGTAGGTAGAGACGATTAATCCAACCTCTGTTCCCATTAGTGATTTTCTGATCAGAAGGCAATTGGATTCTTTTCAGTAGGTGACTGATCTGAGAGATTTAGCTTCATAATTGTAGTAAAATTCAGGTACTCAATATTTACAACATGAAGAATGAATGAATGAATGAACAAATGACTACTGTTAACTTGGATGTCTACCTATGAATGCTGATTCAGAGAAGTAATGCAGGTAAAGTGAATAGGATAGAACATAACATATGATAATGTTTAATAAAAGTTATCAGAATCTATACATCATGATTCATATCAAGTTAGTTCATTCACAGCATCATCATCATCATCATCATCACCATTATATCTGAATTGTTTTTCTTTTAAGTAAATGTTATTAATTCTACAATATTTTTCCATCCTCGAGTGTTTCAGCTTTCTAATCTTATATTCAATTAATTTACATTTTTGGCCTAATCCTAGAATTCTGTTGCTGTGCACATTCACCCACCCCTAATACCTTTAGCTTTCTTTCTATTTGGCTTCTGATCAGGTTGATCCTTCATAGTCTTGCTCTTGAAGTCATCAAAAGTCATTTCCAAATTCATTCCACGAATGAGAGAGTGAAGCAGTCAAGGACTTCTGCAAAGTAAAAATGTATGAGCTCCTGCTGGAGTGTTTAAATAGCTACTGCTATTTAATAGAAGAATGACTCAATCATTGGTAGGAGGAAGAAGAGGATTTTGCTTCATACTGGGAAGTTGGCTGATGCAAATTCTTGGGTTATGTCTGTTGCAGGTGGGGAAAGTGGTGATTCTGCTAGTATTTCAGGATGTTTCAGTAGGTAATTTATGAAAGGGAAAACTGTATTTTCTGTGAGCATTAGAGGACAGGCATTTGTATTCATTCTTCAGATAAGGAAACTGAAACTCAAAAGAGTAACTCACACTAAATTTGTGAAGACTGTGCATTTAAACCAGATTACTTGATTCCAGTGTCCATATTTGTTTACTTCACTGTAGCAGACTATCTCTATACTGTGGCTTTCACAAGTCTCACATTTTCCTTTTTAATTTTGACTGTTTAAATAAGCAGAAGATTAGAAATTTTGGAGTTAATCACGTGTGACTCATCTCCAGCCATGGTGACCTGGGTAATTAAGAACTTAATTAGGAGTGCTATTTCATACAGTGGCAGTATAACATAGCAGCAGAAATTTGGAGCCAGATGGAGCTCGTTTCAAATCTTTCCTTTGCTAGTACCTTAGTCTATAATCTTGGGGAATTACTTAATACTCTGAACTTATGTCTTTGTCTATAAATTGAGACATTGCAATGTCCACTGGATAATGTTGGTAATGTTGCTATCTGGATTCATATGAAATATTGTTTCAAAATGCTAAGTATTCTACTTCAAACATGAGAACTCAAGAAATGATAGTTATTAATATTAGTAGTAGTAATATTCAGCATAATTGAATTGCCCATCAAAGGATACATTTTACACATAAATGACTGGAGTCTCAAAGACTTCAATGAGCGCCCCATAAGGATGCTTATATGAATTCGTTGATAGAATTCTCACCTTTTTTCCCTCTACAACCTCCTAACCAGAGAAGAAATATCTCACTGCAGTTATACATGCTTTTTTTTTAAAAAAAATATTATGTATTAGAGATATTTTCTGAAGTATTCATGGGCAAAATGATATGATATCTGGAATTTGCTTTAAACTACGTGAGGAAAAAAATAAAAGGAGGGGATACATTAAAGAACATTGGAAAAAAATATACATACAAATAAAATATCTAGGAAACTATTAAGAAAAATCACTGATATTGACAGTCTACTTAGGATTCCATTTCCTTCCTCCTTCCTGGATTACTTGTATTCCCTTTTCCTGCACAGGATATCTGAGACCAAATTGAAAATAGTTCACTTGTCATTTAAAGTTTTACTCTACGGGGCACCTGGGTGGCTCAGCCTATTAAGCATCAGACTATTGATTTCAGTTCAGGTCCATTATCTCAGGGTAATAATCTCAGGGTCATGAGACTGAGCCCCGTGTCAGGCTCTGCCCTAAGTGTGGAGCCTGCTTAAAGATTCTCTCTCCTTCTCCCTCTGCCCCTCTGCTAGCTTGCTCTCTGTCTCTAAAAAGAAAGAAGAAAGAAAGAAAGAAAAAGAAAGAAAGAAGAAAGAAAGAAGAAAGAAAGAAAGAAAGAAAGAAAGAAAGAAAGAAAGAAAGAAAG